AAGCAAAATACTATCAGGTGCTAAGTTCATGATAAATTTAGGTTCAATTAATCATATTACTTAAGAACTCCCACTTAGACAGACATCTCTCTAGTCATCTAAGTGATCACGTGATCCAAATCAACTAAACCATAACCGATCATCACGTGAGATGGGGTAGTTTTCAATGGTGAACATCTTTATGTTGATCATATCTACTATATGATTCACGCTCGACCTTTCGGCCTTCATGTTCCGAGGCCATATCTGCATATGCTAGGCTTGTCAAGTTTAACCTGAGTATTCCATGTGTGCAAAACTGTCTTGCACCCGTTGTAGATGGACGTAGAGCTTATCACACCCGATCGTCACGTGGTGTCTGGGCACGACGAACTTTCGCAACGGTGCATACTCAGGGAGAACACTTCTTGATATTTTTTAGTGAGAGATCATCTTACAATGCTACCGTCAATCAAAGCAGGATAAGATGCATAAAGGATAAACATCACATGCAATCAATATAAGTGATATGATATGGCCATCATCATCTTGTGCTTGTGATTTCCATCTTCGAAGCACCGTCATGATCACCATCGTCACCGGCGCGACACCTTGATCTCCATCGTAGCATCGTTGTCGTCTCGCCAACTATTGCTTCTACGACTATCGCTACCGCTTAGTGATAAAGTAAAGCTATTACAGGGCGTTTGCATTTCATACAATAAAGCGACAACCATATGGCTCCTGCCAGTTGCCGATAACTTCTGTTACAAAACATGATCATCTCATACAATAAAATATAGCATCACGTCTTGACCATATCACATCACAACATGCCCTGCAAAAACAAGTTAGACGTCCTCTACTTTGTTGTTGCAAAATTTTACGTGGCTGCTACGGGCTTAGCAAGAACCGTTCTTACCTACGCATCAAAACCACAACGATAGTTTGTCAAGTTGGTGCTGTTTTAACCTTCGCAAGGACCGGGCGTAGCCACACTCGATTCAGCTAAAGTGAGAGAGACAGACACCCGCCAGCCACCTTTAAGCACGAGTGCTCGCAACGGTGAAACCAGTCTCGCGTAAGCGTACGCGTAATGTCGGTCCGGGCCGCTTCATCTCACAATACCGCCGAACCAAAGTATGACATGCTGGTAAGCAGTATGACTTGTATCGCCCACAACTCACTTGTGTTCTACTCGTGCATATAACATCAACGCATAAAACCAGGCTCGGATGCCACTGTTGGGGAACGTAGTAATTTTAAAAAATTTCCTATGCACACGCAAGATCATGGTGATGACATAGCAACGAGAGGGGAGAGTGTTGTCCACGTACCCTCGTAGACCGTAAGAAGAAGTGTTAGCACAACGCGGTTGATGTAGTCGTACGTCTTCACGATCCGACCGATCCAAGCACCGAACGTACGGCACCTCCGAGTTCAGCACACGTTCAGCTCGATGATGATCCCCGGGCTCCGATCCAGCAAAGCTTCGGGGATGAGTTCCATCAGCACGATGGCGTGGTGACGATGATGATGTTCTACCGGCGCAGGGCTTCGCCTAAGCTTCGCGACGATATGACCGAGGTGGAATATGGTGGAGGGGGGCACCACACACGGCTAAGGAACGATCCGTAGATCAACTTGTGTGTTATGGGGTGCCCCTTGCCCCAGTATATAAAGGAGGGAGGGGAAGGTGCGGCCGGCCCCTTTGGAGTGCGCCTAGAGGAGTCCTACTCCCACCGGGAGTAGGACTCCCCCCTCTTGCCTTGGTGGAGAAGGAAAGGGGGAGGGGAAAGAGGAAAGGGCCCCCCCTTCCTTGTCCTATTCGGACTAGGGGGGAGGGGGCGCGTGGCCTGCCCTGGCCGGCCCTCCTCTTCTCCCTTATGGCCCACTAAGGCCCATTAACCCCCGGGAGGGTTCCGGTAACCCCCTGGTGTTCCGGTAAAATCCCGATTTCACCCGAAACCTTTCCGATGTCCAAATATAGGCTTCCAATATATCAATCTTTATGTCTCGACCATTTCGAGACTCCTCGTCATGTCCGTGATCACATTCGGGACTCCGAACAAACTTCGATACATCAAAACTTATAAACTCATAATAAAACTGTCATCGTAACGTTAAGCGTGCGGACCCTACGGGTTCGAGAACTATGTAGACATGACCTAGAACCATTATCGGTCAATAACCAATAGCGGAACCTGGATGCCCATATTGGTTCCTACATATTCTACGAAGATCTTTATCGGTCAAACCGCATAACAACATACGTTGTTCCCTTTGTCATCGGTATGTTACTTGCCCGAGATTTGATCGTCGGTATCCAATACCTAGTTCAATCTCGTTACTGGCAAGTCTCTTTACTCGTTCTGTAACACATCATCTTATTACTAACTCATTAGTTATAATGCTTGCAAGGCTTAAGTGATGAGTATTACCGAGAGGGCCCAGAGATACCTCTCCGACAATCGGAGTGACAAAACCTAATCTCGAATTATGCCAACTCAACATGTACCTTCGGAAACACCTGTAGAGCACCTTTATAATCACCCAGTTACGTTGTGACGTTTGGTAGCACACAAAGTGTTCTTCCGGTAAACGTGAGTTGCACAATCTCATAGTTGCAAGAACTTTGTATAAGTCATGAAGAAAGCAATAGCAACATACTAAACGATCAAGTGCTAGGCTAACGGAATGGGTCATGTAAATCACATCATTCTTCTAATGATGTGATCCCATTAATCAAATGACAACACATGTCTATGGTTAGGAAACATAACTATCTTTGATTAATGAGCTAGTCAAGTAGAGGCATACTAGTGACTATATGTTTGTCTATGTATTCACACATGTATCATGTTTCCGGTTAATACAATTCTAGCATGAATAATAAACATTTATCATGATATGAGGAAATAAATAATAACTTTATTATTGCCTCTAGGGCATATTTCCTTCACTCGACATCTTCTTTCTCTGTCACTAACACGACCTGCTCTTCCTTTCACTACGGATTGCATCCAGTCCACTAAACAGAGAGCTCCTATGCGCCGCTTGCTGCGGCAAATTGTCGAGCGGACGCACAGGTGCGTCTCCAGCTGGGCCGGCCCATTCACGCAACGCATTGTAAAAATCCCAAAAATCTCTACTTGAGAGAGGGATCGAACCAGGACCTCCATCTTTGTATGCATGAGCATAGCCATCGCGATAGACAAGCTTTCTTGGTTTGCTACGGCGTGCGGTCCTAAATGTAATGGAGACCCGAACATTTTCTCAACTTCCTAATACGAAAATTATTTTGAAAAGGTGTTTCTTAAAAAGAGAACACTTTCCAAATTTTAGAAGAAAAACTAAAAGGCTTGAACAAATTTTTGATAAACTGAACACTTTTTAAAATGCCGAACATTTCTTGAATTTAGAGAACAAAATTTTGAAATCGAGAACAAAATTTGAACATGAACATTTTTTTAAAGCACGGACATTTTTTTAATCTTGAGAACAAATTTTGAAACCAAGAACAAATTTGTAAGCGCGGAAATTTGAGAACAAAATTTGAACATGAACATTTTTTAAAGCAAGAATTTTTTTTTATCTTGAGAACAAAATTTGAAACAGAGCACAAATTTGGAAGCACGGATTTTTTTTAAAAGTACGAACATTTTTCTTGAATCTTGAGAACAAATTTTGAAACGTAGAACAAATTTGGAAGCGCGAGCACTTTCTTAAAGCACGAACATTTTTTGAATTTGAGAACAAATTTGAAAAATCCTGAATATATTTGAAAGTGCAAACATTTTTTGAAAACCTGAACAAAAAAGTTGAAGTTCGATACATTATATTAAGTTCGAAAGTTTTGCTCTTTTTTGTGTAACGAGAACAATTTTTGAATTTTGAGAACAATTTTTAAAAAACTGAACATTTTATGGAAAGGCAAACAAAATTTGAATATTTTGAAAAAAGAGAAAAGAAAAAGGAAATGAAATAAGAAACCAAAGAAAGAAAACAAACAAAAAAACGAAAAAGAAGAAAAGAAAAAGGAAACAGAAAGGAATTTGAAAATCTAAAGAACAAAAAGGAAATAGAAAAAGAAGAAAAGGAATTGAAAAAATGAAATAAAGAAACAGAAAAACAAAGAAAGAAGAAAAAAAGAAAAAGAAAAAGAAAAATAAAAAACGGAAAAACCGATGAAAGCAATCAGGGAACCTTCTAGAAAGTTCACAAAACCGGATTGGGCAGTTGATAACGTATCTAAGTGGGCCGGCCCAGGCAGCGTCGCTCGGTTGGTCCCCTGTGCGAAGCGCCCGCATTTTGCCGCAGTGAGCGGCCAATAGGAAATTCCCACTAAACACATCCCGCATCGCATCGCGTCAGTGAGTAGGGGGCGAGATGAGCAGCCATCTCTCGTCGTCGGCGGCGGCGCCGCTGGAGGACGAAAACCTATTCCCCGAGATCCTACTCCGCCTCCCGCCGCAGCCCTCCTCCCTCCCCCGCGCCTCGCTCGTCTGCAAGCGCTGGTGCCGCCTCGCCTCCAACCCCGGCTTCCTCCGCCACTTCCGCATCCACCACCGCCGCAGCCCTCCCCTCCTCGGCTGCCTCGTCCAAGATCCCGACGGCATCTCCTTCCTACCTACATCGGAGCCCCTCAACCGTCTCCCGCCCGGTCGTTTCTCCTTGCAGTTCTTACTCAGCAACGGATTCACGCTACACGACTGCCGCCATGGACTCGTACTTATGTCCGACCAGATGCGGCGCCAGTTCGTCGTGTGGGACCCCGCACCGGCGACCAGCACCGCCTACCGATTCCCCCGGGGTTCGATCCGAGGACGACCCGAATCAATGGGGCGGTGCTTCGTGCTGCGGGGGACGTCAAACACTTCCAGCTGGTCTTTGTAGCAGCATACAACCACGGGGTAGCAGCGGCGGCCGCCTGCCTTTACTCGTCGGAGACCGGCGTATGGGGTAACATCGTCTCAACACCAATTCCATTCGAGTCCGACCGAGGGTCCGCCTTATATCAGATGTTTACTTTCGGAACAATTTCTACGGAGCCCGCTGTGCTTGTTGGGGATTCCATTTACTGGATTCTTGCCAATTGTTCATCAGGCATCCTTGAGTTTAATTTTGAGATGCAGAGACTAGCTGCTATACGGGTGCCACATCTGTATAGAGATCACTTCAAGCTTATAAAGGCGGATAGTGGTGGGCTGGGTCTGCTCCACATATCAGACTTCACCATGCAAGTGTGCAATTACGATGGTGTTGCTTCATGGAGGCTGGGAAGAACTATTGAACTGGACAAATTACTTCCCCTGAATCCATACAAGGACAACATAATGTTAGGAGCGTTTGCCGAGGAAAATAATATGGTGTTCCTGTGGACATTGAACGGGCTCTATGCGATCCATCTTCAGTCATTGGAGGTGAAAAAGCTACCCGAAACCACCAACATATCTCACTACTATCCCTTTGAAAGCGTCAATACGACAGGTAATAGCATGTTTATATTGCTATTATATTACTAAGCTAACAATTCTAAGTAGTGTGTTGTCAATTATTTATATATGTTGCTTCTTCATTATATAGCGTATTGTTCTGTAGTGTTTTGTGTCGATGCTTCTGTGCCGGCATTTTATTTAATGGTTCTGAGCTAGAAAAAGATTATTTTGTAGCAGTATCTAGTTCAGTTTATGTCACCAGGTGACTGGCTGTCATTGTTCGACTGTGGCGTGGTTTCTCTGATTCAAGCAGAGGGGGTTGTGGTATCTTCTTTGTCGAAAATTATGTAGCAGCGTTGTTTTTGAATATTCTGATGTTATATTACTATTATTGTTACTACCATTGGACTATGTGGTTTAAGTCTAGCAGATTTTCTGCCTGTCAAGTTTAGCATATAAATATTCATACAAGAAAATTATCCGCATAATAATTGAAGTAAATTGCATTGTTGCCTGCTTATTCACATATGCAAGAACTTTATATGGTAGTGCTAGTGCATAGCTGCAGTCATTTTTTTCTCAAGATAAGATACATAACTGTTGGAAGTTGAAGACGCCAACATGAAAAACTAGAATGTCAAATGTACGTAGCTCAATTCTTGGGGTTGGAAACTTAATGTAGTTACATTTCTGTCATTCAACTTTGTTATTCCTGCTGACCTTCTAATATTCGTAAACCCATAATAGTGACTTGGTTTAAAATTTACGAAACAATTGTCCATTTTATAACTTAGGGAGAGTCCTGCTATGAGTGGCAAGTCCATTGGTGTCGGGGATATGCCCCGCGGCGTAAACCGGCCGGAAGGATAAACCGGCCGGACTTGGCGATTCACCGGCGACCTGCACAGACCAGACGGTTTACAGCTCATTTGTAATACCGGCAGGCGGGCCAGAGGAGCAACAAGATCCGGTGGCCTGTCTGGCGGTTCATGAAGGCCGGTTCAACTATGGTGGGCCGGTTTAAGAGGAAAGAAATATTTGCCTTACAAGGAGTTGAGACCAGGACTTGTATCCGGTTTGTATTAGAGATAGACTAGTCCTAATCCTAATAGGACTCCACATGTAACCCGCCCCTTCAACATATATAAGGAGAGGCAGGGCTCCCCAATAGGGACAAGCTACAAGCAAGAAGAAACAATTGTAGGGCTAGACACAAAGAGGAGAGCCGGTTTACGGCGACTCCCTCGTGATGATAATGAGACCTAGCCTCAAACAGCATGTAGGGTTTTTACCGGATGATGTTTCCCGGGGCCCGAAGCTATCTAAATCCTCGTCTTGTGTGTTGATCCGCCCTGCGTCTCTCATCCCACTCAACCCCTCTCAAGTTGCCACATAGATGCGTTGGCCTCGCGACTAAGTCCTTACACAAGGACATCTGCCGTGACAAATCCACGATAGTTGGCACCCACTGTGGGGCTAGCGCACGGTGGTGATGAGTTCTTAGAGGGATTTTTCTAGGGTTTGAGAAGCTTAGTATTTTGAGAAGCTTAGTATTTCGTCGGATGAAGAAGAACCGGCACAGAAGTTCATGTCGTTGACGAACAGTCAAAGCGGCCTATTCAATATTCAAAGATCAAGTGGAGATCAGGGCTGCATAAGTTCAAGCGTTGTAACTCGCCGAGATCGCAGGGATGTTTCCGCTGAAGCCAAACTGTTGCGGCAGTCAATCAACGCTGTCGGCAGTTTTCCGTTACGGGATCGGTGGCCATACCGGATTGCTACGATGTATTCAGTCAATGGTCCAACCGGCCAGGTTATTTTTACTCCACGTAGAGAAATCCTAAGCTACAACTCCCGAAAGGTCAATGGTTGATCCTACTACTTTGAGCGTGGAGGCCAAATCAATTCCAAAGGACTCCCATAAAAGCGATTTACCCACGGACTCGGACGCCTCGGTTGACCCGCCCGATTGCCAGCTGTGGCCTTGACCCGGAGCGCCTCCGCCGTTCTCTGTGTTAATCCGCCTTCGATACGTCGCGTGCCTGCTGCCGGTTCACCACATGGCCGGTTGCCGTTGAATTGCCGCCGCTTTGTCGTTTCGCCTCCGCGTCGCCCTTGCCTCGCCCACGTGGCCTTGGTTTACACCGGCTCCGGTTCAGCCGTGCGCAATCGGTTTCGCGCCAAGCCACTGGTCGCCGTTGTCGAGGCCGCGGACGCCGCGGTACTGCTTTAGTGCGCCTTGTGCTCTGTCGTGTACAACAAGTACGGAGTAATAAATCTTCAGATGCCTACGACTGCAGTCCTTGCACATTAGTTGCAAACAGTGATTATGACATCGGCAGATCGTGGTTCAAGAAAGCAAAACTACTGGTCAATTAGGTGACTATGGATATTATTGCTATTCGTACAATTCTCAAGAGATTTGACAAGTGCATGGTTCGGTTAGTGGTAGATGCAAGCTGAGCACACTAAATGGTTATTCTGCTACTGATCGATGGTCAATAATTATTCAGCAGCACCGGGTGTGAAAATTCCTTGAAGACAGCAGCTCTGCAGCTGGGTGGAACAATTGGTGTACCGGGCAAGCTCATGTATACTAGTATATTTTTGAACACGAAGCCGTGTTAAACATCAATAAGTGAAGGATGGAAGGATTTTTTAAAGATCGTTTAGCGGAAAGCACCTGCTTAATAGGCATGTCCGAGATATCAATCTTGTTGGTGGCAGCGTCCTAGGAGTTTCTCATAACAGCGCAAAGATCTTCAGATAGTATCAACGGCATCCAGGCAGGAGTTTTTGACATGCTCTTGACACTTGATGAAGTGGGGCTCATGATGGGGCTGATGTGATACATGCCAAATGACAAAGGAGAAAATTGAAAGTGCCGATTATTGGTCTCTCAAAACACGGTGGATAATAACATGCTACTGATAAACAAGACATTTGGATTTGATACTGCAGTGGAGACAATATAAAAGAGTTATCAACTCTGCATATATTGAGGAACTGTCAAACATCAAAGACTGTCACATGGGATCCAAAGGAAAAAATACGTACGAGCCCACAGGACCCTAGTAGCACAATTGGTGTTGCTAGTAGAAGTAAACAGTGGCAGAAACAGAAGTCTCCAATCGGTTATGAGGAATCAAGTGAACGGATGAATGATTAAAAGTGGAGGCATGCAAATTCCTCTAGTCAGGATGGTTTGTGTTGGCCTCTACTTCTAGTATTATCCAGCATCAGTTCCTGCATTCATCTAATAAAAATACAAGGTGCTATCAGTTTTATTTATTTTAGCACATATTATTTTCGTTAAAGAATGATTACTCTGGTCTGTATATTTTTTATATGCAGGATAATTATTCACTACAAAGGTGATTTATGCCGCGGGTATGGAGTGCACACAAGCAACATTTTGCACCGGCGCTCGTCCGTGTCATGCAGCTGGACGGATATGTGAGCCAATCACCGCCCCCGCTACATCAACACACGTGACTGGCTCGTTGTCCGCGCCGCGGCCGACTCGCCCGTGTATGTGCCGTTTGCAACGCCATGGCCAACTCTTTCATCCGTGCCGGTTTGCAGTGCCACGGCCAACTCTCCCATCCGCACCACCTTACAACGCCACGGACGATACGCCCGTCCGCCCCCGCGGCCGGTTCACGTGCCGGCTTACAACAAGGAGGACAACTTGCTCGTCCACACCGGCTTACAACACCCCGACTGACTCATCTGTCTGCTCCCGCGGCCGGCTCGGCCGTGATTGATTTCAGCATTACCATGGTGATCATCAACTCCGCAGTGATTATTTCTGGCCTGGCACATCAGGTGATATTCATCTAAAATATATTTTATTGGCACATATTATTTTTTTTGCCAAAGAGCAGTTTATCTTTGCCTTGGTCTGCAATATTGTTGATGCAGGACAATTATTCACTACATCAAAACGACGCGGTTAACTTGCCCATCCGTGCCGGTTTATAACACCAGTACCGATTTCTCTGTCCATGCCGGTTTATAATGCCGCGGCCGACTCATCTGTCGGAGCCGCCACTGATGATGCGGTCGTCCCTGCTGTCCGTCTCTCGTGGCCTGGTCTACGTCGACATACCGGGCCGCACCTGTTTGCATGAGCTGTTTATTGGGTGCACAAGTCGCCGTCACTACAGTTTGGTTAACTTCAAATCACCAGTTGGAAGGAATCATTGGCCGAGTTGCTGACACGGCTCATACCGGATCATTTATAACCCGCCGCAGTCACCTCAACCTTCTGTGGATTCACATCATGCTATTAACACCAATGATATACAACTTATGCCGGTTTACATCACGGTCATATATGGAGAGTCTCAAGCCAACTCCTCGAGTCACCTTTGAGACTCGGGGGCTACAATAACATGACTCAGCAAATCTTGCCAGTTTCAGCAAATTTAAGAACCCCGGGACGATGGAGGGAAAGATAACCCGGTCCCGGAGGCTACTATTATTTGAAGGCCGTCAGAAAATTTCCGGCTTAGAAAGTATATGACAGTTACAAAATCCCGGCTCAATGAAGAAGTTCCGGATCATCAGAAAGGATTCCGGTTTACAATCCGGTTCAAGGGAAGTCAGTCTCACTGAAGCTCTCAAATATCCGGTTTACAATCTGGTTCAAGGGGAATTTGTCTCGCACGAAGCTTTGAAGCTCTCAAATCCGGTTTAACAATGTCCGGTTCAAAAAGGAATTAATTTCTCGCAAGTTCGAGTTGAAAGGCCGTCAGAAAATTCCCGGCTGAAAATGAAGATTCCGGTTTGCAATCCTGTTTAAGGGACGTCTGTTCTCCCACAAAGCTTTGAAGCTCTCACTATCCGGTTTAAGATCCCGGTTCAAGAAGAATTTATCTCTTGCAAAAAAAGTTAAAAATTACCAAAGAGGACCTGCTGCCATGATGCGCGGTTCAAACATGGGTATCCTGCCTTATTGGCCTAACATATTATTGATCACATGGGGGCTTCTGCTTCATAAAGCGGGGTCTCTGTTCTTTTTTACATCATGCGTGGTTACACGGAGGTTCTGTCTTAAAGCGGCATCCGGTTTACCCCTTGACATTTGTTTTTTATATATCACTGGGGGCCTTGGTCGTGTCCGAACCAACGAACACCCTTTGATAGGCGACAGCCACCAGATCATTTGGGGACATGGTCAAGTCTGAACCAGTCACGCCTCTTGGTCGGCCTAAGGCCACAAAATCACTTGGGGGCATGGTCGAACCCGAACCATTGCCACGCCTCTTGATCTGGCATATATGCCATGAATTATTTGGGGACCTGGCTGACTTGAATCATTGTCACTCCTATTGGGGGCCTTGATCCTGTCCGACCATGGTAATACCATCTGATCAGCTCAGTATAGCATATTTTTGCAAACAATTTTTATCATTGCTTTTGCTTCCATATTTTTTCATAACTGTCATTTGATTTTTGTTGCATTTTTTAAACCGACAACGTTGTTAATCCGGTTCGACTGTCAATTACAAATTGACAGAACACGGTCAAATCTTAATCCGGAGGCCATCTGCCCGGTTTGATTTTCTGTTACCATCCTATTATGGAGTAAACCGGTGTTTATCAACCCGGCTTGACTTTCAATTACAAGTTGTCAATACAGGATCAAGTTATAATCCGGAGACTATCAGCCCGGTCTGGTTTGACTACGAACCGCCAGTATTATATATGGTTAAACCGGTGTTTATCACAACCCGGTACGGTTTATCATCAACCGGCACAGTATGAAAGGAGTTATCATTACTCAAGATTGGGGTTATCACTCTT